AAAAATTTTTGGATGCGTCCCGTGGCGACGGTGACACTGATGGTAAGAGCAATGATGTGGGAGAGCATGCCGATGGGACGATTAAGCAACCCAAAGAGCGAGATGGAGACAAAGATCTTCTGAGGACTAATGTCACCAGGCGTGAAATTGGGTCCTCCCACGCTGGCGTAGACCGAAAACGCAACCAAGGAAACAACAAGGGGCAACGACTGAAACATGATGGACATGAACGAGAACACAACTCCAATGCGCTTAAGCATGGAGAGCTCACGATTTCTGAATAGGCGGACGCGATCCATGAACGAATCCTCCCAGCCATACAACTTGATGATCTTGATGCCGGAGAGAACTATTGCAACATATAATGATTGAATATTAAACATCGAGTTTGCAACAACAGCAAGGATGCTAAAAAAAAAAATATAAAAAAATAAACACTATACATATACCATGTCAAATGCCGTACCTTCATTCATAAGACGAACTCTCTCGTCCATAGCCTTCAGCTTTCCAGATTTGGCAGCTGTAAAGAATTTGGCGATAAAGCCTTGGACGGGAAGCATGGCAATGATGGATGCAAACCCCACAAATACACTCCATCCAATCTGTTGGTATACTATTCATACAAAAAAAAAAAAAAAAAGTCAATCAAGAGCGAGGAGTTAGCGATGGACCTCCAGATACAAAATGCCATCGAACAGTTCCTGCAGCGTCTACTTACAAAGCCAGAGTGCGATGGCGAGCTCATATCTAACAACGCGACCAGCAACAATAAAAAGAAAGAAACTTAGAAAAAGGACTATACCACATCCATGCTCACGTAGACCGCAGACCTTACAGAGACCTGTTCACTTACGGGATGGAGATGTACATGGGCATAAAACTAGTGGCATCTGCCCAACGTTCCGCATCCACCGACATATGATTGTTGATCTCTCCTGCTGTACTCTTTTGCTTGGCTGCACTGGATAATCTGAGTGACTTGCGGTAGATCATAGCGATCAAGGCAGTCCTGGCCTCGATACCGATATTCATGGAAGTTTGAAAGTACTGGGCCATGAAAAGCGAGTTCAACATGGAGGCAAAGAACATGCCAAATGCCAGAATGATGCCGAGACTGACAGGCTTGGGGGAGTCGGTGGAGTACGAAGCAATGAAGCTCAACAGCTGATTCATCAACGTAGGTAGGACATAGGTCAGAGTCGATGCAACGATACGGAAGAACATGACGGGGCCCCAGTTCTTGGCGTTGGATGTCATGATAGTCCAAAACAAATTAGGTTTGTCTCCCTTGGCCTTTGCCTTTGCGACATTCTTTTCCCATTTAGTGTTCAATCGATGAAAGCTCTGCTCCGTCTTGATGAAATCTGGAGCCATGCCCTCAATGTCCTTGCCTGTCAGAGGGACCTTGTAACCCTTGGAAACAATGGGCTGCAAAAAGTTGAAGGTGATCTTGGAGGCAAGATTAGCCTTTTGGAATCGACCTGCACCACTCTTCATCTGAGCTTGAGTACGACCACGAGGCAAAGCTTCCATGATGAATCCTGCAGTGTTGAGACCAAAGAACGTGACAAAGGCTGTAAACTGGGACTGAGAGGTCTGGTCCAGCAAGACCATGGTGCGAATGTTGATGGCTGAGGCGACCAAGGTGAAGAAATAGAGCGAGAAGATGTAGTCGTTGGATCGAATTTCTTGTTGATGCTGAAAGTGGTTGAGGAAAATAGCTGCTGTCCAGGCAAGGATCAAACAGATGGTGCTGAGCATAGTGGCAGGAGCATAGTCGACCTGCTTGAGCAACGCAGCTCGAACGATCAAGGCGACGACGCTGGCCAGCATGAAGAACTGCGATGGCCAGTAGATGATATTGGTACGGCCGAGATGGTGGGGTTTGCCGTGTCGGGCCATGTCGTAGGTGCGATAGACGATGGCAAGCAATCCGATCAGCGAGGGAAGTGTCAAGAGGATGGTGTTTTCAACACATGGCGTCAAGTCTGGCCACAGATTGCTCGTTGGACCCTATGAAGGATGGCAAGGGGAACAAAGAAGACAGACAGATACATAAATAAAAAGCCGTGAGCATGCAGTATGGATTGAGATGGTCGCTGGCATAGCATGCATATCGGCCGAGCTGCTAGTACTTACCCAGCCCTGTTGGTCGTTGCAAAAGGAGTCGACGCCCATGGTGATGTGTCAGAGATGGACGTCGTGCGAGCAGAAGGGGATGAAGACGAGAGAAGGAGAAGGAGTGGCGAGAAATGAAAACGAAGAAAAACAAAAAACAAAAAGGACTGGTTCTTTATTTTTTTTTTGGGCGACGGGCATACAACAGCAAAATGATCGGGGCGCACAATCCACTTCAACACTTCCAGAGCAACAACAAGAGAGAGAGAGAGAGAGAAGGGTGAAGGAAGGAGAGCAAAAGACAAAAAAACAATGGCCTCCTTCTTATATCCTTCTGCAGTCGGAAATGAGATCGGACGACGGCTGCCAACCTGCGCAGGCCAATGAGCGACAGAGGCCTTGCTGGCAGAGCAGCGTCGATTGGGGGTCTGTCTGCGCTGCCGCGTAGCATGGAGACGGGTCGAGTTGATTTCTAAGCGACAAGACACGCAATTGCAATCGGGGGTCCAACAGAACAGCGCAGAACAGAAAAAACGGGAAAAAAAAAAAAAAAAGAGCGAGTGCCACGCACGCAAGCCGTCTCGCCATTGGAGCATGAACAGGGATCGCTCTCTCTCGGCTTTTCTTTTGGACGACCACTCTAAATTGAAAAATGTCGCGCACTGGATGGGCTGCTGACTAGAGGAGTGTGGCATCATCTGTCCTCATCCATGTCTTTTGTAACCTTGTTCTGACGTGGTCAACAATCGCCATCCCACCGTCGCAATCTGCAGCGCATGGCATCTAGTCGGGATTTCTCTCTCCCAAAGACCAAAGACATACCTCAGCAGAGATAAAGAATAGAGAGGAGTCGGGGGAAGGGCCATGCTCCACTCAGTGCTGGGATGAGCGTCGATGACAAATATAAAGAAAGTTTTCTTTTCTCGGATTCTTTCTGTGGACAGAGGAGGGAGCCTTGCATACATCTTGTCCACTTCCGCACTAGACTACAGTAGTGTGCGCCTGTGGGGCATCATGTCGTGTTGAGGTCTCTTGTCTGCGCAGCTGCAGTGCAGGACAGTGCTCTAGTCTAATCGTCATTGACTACGTTTGCCACTGAACCAAGCACTTCTGAGGTTATAGTCCATAGTCATTCTGGACTCCATCCGTGCCCCTTGAACCGGAACCAGCCATTCTCCATTGCCAATTGACTTTATCTTTTCTGGCCTTTGGTGTCTTCTTGACCATCATCAAGTCTATTGCCAGTGTGAGCGATACAAAAAAGTCGGCAATTGTGCAGACGAGAATTCTCATTGCCCTTTATCTCCTATCTCACATCAGTATGCCGCGTCATCCACACAAAAAGCGGCGCTTCCCCTGCATTTCAGTGGAAAAGTATGCCTCCGTCAGTTTTTTTTTCCCTTTAGAACAAAGACACTAGAGATAAATACGCAACAACGATCACCTACCCGATAGTCTCTGCAGACAAGTTGCTTTGAAATACAGACACCTGAAGAATGGGAGTAGTAGTCTGGGCGCTTCGTTGGCCTTATCTTGATGAACTTTTTCAGGAACGCAGTGTGCTTTGTGAGCAGTCCACTACGCGTGTTGAAACCGCCTAGGCCGACTGCAAAGTCCATGCTGCTGCCCATGAAGATTCTTTTTCTGCTCTCATTCTCGCCAGTCATGCGCAGCAGGGCCTTGACCCCGTAGTCGGTTGCCCAGTGTCACGCCTTCCCTAAGTCTCATGTCTTCCAAAAAAGAAAAAAAAAAAATAATAATTGACACTTTGTTTTATTACTGAACACTACGACTCTCATCGGCTGCCTTCTGCCTCTTATCCATCGTCACTTCCAATTCTTCCAATATTCGCTCTCTCTTCTGCTCTCGCATTAGACCCACGGGGTGCGGATGGCACTCCCACGCTTTCACTCTGTCCCATTTTCTCCCTATCGGCGGCCGACATCTAAAGGCGTTCAAACTTGATCGCCACACTCTTGGATAACTTGTCAAGCGTCCACGCTAGACTGTTCGTCTGACACATCTTCATACTGAGATTTTAAAAAAAGAAGAAACGCCTTTTGAAAATCTTGGGCACTTGCAAGCGTTTCCACCGCATCGGTTCAGGAAGGTCTTTAATAAGATCAGAAAAATAGGCGTCTGCAATACATGGATAAGGACCTTGTTATCACGCACGGCAAAGGTCCTGCCTCTTCATTGAGGAAATATCTTCTGGACCTTCAGTCAAAGACCGGAAGCCCTGTTGTTATTGTCGTTTCATTGTGTTCTTGGGCAAAGGGATCGCGGAAATCACGAAATCACGATTTTTTTTTTTTTTTGATAACTAGGACCCACGGGGACGCGTGGGCTTTATTAGCGTGTTACTTTTCTCCACGGTCCCCTCCTCTTGCTAGAGACGTAAAGAAAAAAGTGGTATCTAGTAAACAGCGTTTTCTGCCAGGTCCCTTTCACAATCTTCGTCAGCATGAGTGGTGACTCGGAGAGCCCTGCTCCCTACTTGGCCTGTTGTGCTCGAAGGTCATCCTTTAGCCGGTGTCCACTGTCATCAAAAACTTGCATCCACCCAACCGCTCCATCAGACTCAGCTCCAGCTGTTGGCAATAGCCCTGTACTAGACGCGCTTGTTTACGCCCTCGCTCTCACGATGACTTGCAATATCTGCTCCAGATCTCAGTCCGTCCAGCTTTTCGATGGCCTTGACAAAGCGCGACCTATACATTATGGTGAAAAAGTCGCGTTGCCGTGGACAGCGCTAGACCGTGATGCTCATTTAGTTAAGGGGCTTTCGACTTGTTATTAAGGGCTCGTTTCTATAAGCGCTTACTCTGTGGCAGACTACCGATATAAATAATAAAAGTTTAACTCCGCTTATATGAATCGTCACTTTGGCCGAGTGGTTAAGGCGTATGCCTGCTAAGTGTATGGGATTTCCCGCGCAGGTTCGAACCCTGCAGGTGACGCGATCTTTTTGTTTTGACGATTCAGATACAAAGAAAAAGATGATGATCCCGGGCGTTTGCTAGAAAGCGGTTTATGTCTTGATTCATCTTTTTTTTTTTTTTTTGAGGGAGAAGACGAGGAGGAGAGAATAGAGGAAATGGAGGAATAGAAGAGAAGCCCTTGTCAGAAAGTTGTGGGTCAACATATTTTTAAGTCCTTTTTGTTGGAACGAACTCCACTTTTTGGGAACGGTTTCCTCTACGCGTTCGCAGACAACATGGTCGCACGCAATTGTGGATGCGTATGGTTATCAGGCTTGTACGTTAAAGGATATTGAATTGAACCAACTATACATGTTGGCCCACAAGACTCCACTTGAACAACAGCAACTTCTCATTGCTACGACTGCAGGTACAGCATTTAGATTTGTTGCAACAAAAACGAAAAAAGAGTCGTCAGGAAAAAAGAAAAGAAATAGAAGAAATAGAAGAAAAGAAAAAGAAAAAGAAAAAGAAAAAGAAAAAGAAAACAAGAACAAGATAGGATGAAACAGCACAGAGAAACGAAAAAGAAAGGTTACGACCAGAGCGAGAGGCCAGCATACAGCGAGTTCAACAACTGGTCCAGGGACGCAACAAATACCGTAGGCAGCTGAAGCGGGCAGCCATCAGAAGACGACAACAGCGACACCGGCTGTGAGTCAAGGAGACAGCAAGGGCAAGAACCATTCGGAAGAAGCGACGCATGGAACTGCGAGGCCGCACAGCAATCGTCGGAGCTGAGCTGGATATACGTCTTCGACGCAACGCTCACGAACGCATGGATGAAATTCCAACACCGAGGTATAGAGCCCTTCCAGGCGATGAAGAATAGTACGGTAATGACACCTTCGGCGTTGAGGTACCAAAGCGAGCCAGGGATCTCATAATGACGCAAAGGGCACGACTCCAAGATCGAGAGAGCGTAATTCTGTACTCAGACGGATCACTGGACCACGCAGGGAAAGAGGACGTGAGTATGGGCATTTGGTGTGGTGGTAAAGGCCAACCATGATCAGTACCCAACAGTGGCGTCGGGCAGAGTTAAAGAATTTGCGTCGTCGACAAAAGCAGAGCTGGCAGGACTTTTCGCAGCCATCTTTGTCAGCCCCCATAGCACCCCAATGACAATATATATCGACAACTTGGCAGTAGTGTCGCAGTTCAAAGTACTGGTGGAGGAACGGAACCGATGCACGGAACGTCAACGCGTAAGATCACCGTACGCGATCTGGTGGGCGGCAGTTCACCACGCATTCATTCAACAGGGCAGCAGTGTTAAAGTCATTTGGATCAAAGGGCACGCTGGAGACAGGGGCAATGAGGCTTCAGACAAAGCAGCGAAGGAAGGCCATTTATCAGAGATATGGAGCCTCAAGGAAGAAGAGCACAACGACCTTTTGTGCCATGCAAAGATCAACGACACTATTGTGGAGGATGATGTGCGACGT